GCAATGTCAACATTTATTAACGCATGCGTGACATTGCACTTCAAATTTAGAAATAATTTAGTGAAAACGATAGAGTCGGAACATGGTTGATGTTTTGATGGGTGATGATTTTATTTTTATTGACAGGACTTGACGGTTTTGTTAATCGGATTAGGAAAGTTTTAGTATTAACATAAGTTTGTGATTTTATCAAAGCTCCATTCTGAACTCGTACCAGGCACCAGACAGTTGTGTATTTGCATTTGCAGTTTCTCCATTCAGTCAACGGTCCTGACAATTGGAAATGACATGAAAGGATAAAGATTGTGTGATTGTTCAATGCACATAAGAATTTTGCATGAAACGTTTTATTGGAAAGCATCAAGTGATTGACAAATGTCATATGTTTACAACATGAACAGTATATTCTCTGAGAATACAAAGTCAAACCGGGAAATAGTATATGCATAAATTCTTGAATATTTCCTATTTCAATCATTTACAATTGCATCGTCCATTTGAAATATTTATTTTTGTTAATTCAAACGTTACCGATACAATCGGATTCAATTTAATGGTAATATACAAAAACAATAAGTGACAAATTCGGATGATGTCTAAACATAATAGTTCGGAGAGATAACGTTGTAGATGGCGTCAGTGATCATCTTGGCCGAATCTCGTTCACAACGCTCGGCCAGTTTATCGTGATGTGTTCGTAGAAACGAACGTAGTGTCTCAGTGATCGTGCTCTGAAAATGTATTCATTCCCATTGACGGTTGTGACTTCGATTAGCATTCCAACTTCGTAAAGGTATAGGATCGAGAAAATTTTACTCAAATCGCCTTCATTACCCTTGAGTGCTCGTGATTTACACTTCAAAAAACCGAGAATTGATTACGTTTGTATGAAGACTAGAGTTTGATTCTAAATTAACTGATTGATTACTGATTAACTGATTAATTGAGTGATTGATTCCAAATTTTCATCATTGGTTTGACATAAATGAGACGAAACTGGAGATTTCTATAGTTTATGAAATGAAAAACATCGTCCCCCGTCAAGAGGTGATGAGCCGTGGAAGGCATCTTTCTTGAATTTGTAATCATAACTGCATATTACAAGACCTCCGTATTGTTAAAATAAGATGGAGATTTGAAGACAAAGCACGCACACGTATCGCAGAATCTTTGCCATTTACGGTTTTACAATAGTCGAGAATAAGTTGTGCGATCATTGGTGGTATAGTGAACGGATACGCTCGAATCACCGATGACAACTTCAACACAGCACCGTGTCTTTCAGCTAGTCTTTCACTAGTGGTCAACTTTAGGGTTTCATCCTGAAAATTTAAGGTTTTGAAGAAGTTAGTCACTCAGTTACTTAAGTTTGGTTGGCAATGTTCAGTGAAACCTCAGAGTTTATTTTTCCAGCCATTCCAACATAGATTTTGACATATTTCAGTTTACTTTATTGTTTTGAAATATTCAGTTTATTGAGAATGACTAGTTGAATTGCATTGGAGTTTTAAGAAGTTCTTAGCAGGAACTGACGATGTCGTTCCGTTGGATCATCTGATGGCCACAGTGAATGAATGACGTAAAACATTCGGCAGCTTCAATCCGTACTTCATTACGACTATGACACAATGCCTTTTCGACTAAACTCCTGGAATATTCATGTATTGATATCCAGCATTTCATTTTATTTTAACTTTTCATTATTGGTAATCTCAGAAGAAATCACCCAAACAACCACAAAGTATGAAACAGGCGATGTAGCTACTCAAGCAAATTTATTTGTTAAATAAAATGTTGTTCATGTGAGATCTTAACTCACTATTTAAATCAATTTAAACAAGTAAATGTTTGAATTTATGAGACAAATTAATTAGATTCAACTTAGATGAACCAGAAACATGGAAATGGCTCCAAACAAAACCTTATCAGAGCAGGTCTGTTGTTGAGCTCACAAACGTAGATATTTGAGAAGACGAAAACTTGCAGAAATCTTAAAATAGAAACCCAGGCACGCCAGCTGTCACTTTTTGTCATTGTCTAAAAAGGAATCAACAATTACTTTTCAGGAATAACCAATAAAATGGTCTGTTTCATTTGACTTTAGTGCTATCTTCTTATCGATAACTCATTTTCTGATAATATTATCTTGATAATGCAATATTATTCTGATAGTATTGAGCATTCCAGTGAGATATCATTCTGTTGGTGGGTTTTAATCTTGCTCAAATTCACCGCGATTAGAGTAATATGAGGAAAGTTAAGGCAGGAATGCATTATTGCTTTATCAAAGAAGCTTTTTGACCATTTGAATCTTACCATTTGCACTGTTTGCAACATTAGGTCTGCTAAAGCTTCACTTAGATAGATTCCAGACCAGGTTTGAAACAGGAGTTCGCTGGATGCGACGGCGAGGTCAGCATCACGAACCTCTTGAACTTCCTCATTGCTGAAAGTAATTCGATTTTCATTAGCACATTTTTGGATTAGCTTCATTGGCTTAGACAAAACTAGCACATCTAACAGATTTAGTTGTAGTGCCGTAATTTTGATGATTTGATGCGAATAAACTTGTGTTCAATTAACAAGCACTGCATTTCGAAGAAGGGCTTGTGATGGATTTGCAAGCACTATTGATCGTAGTTCCAGATGCAGTATGCTATGATATTTGCTATCATGACCCGGCAGATCAGTGGTTGGAATAATCTTGATCTTGCATTCGGTTTCTCCCCTTCCCTCGCTCGTATCCCCACCAGACAAATGACATATCGTCATTTCTTTCTTATGGATGATAGAAAGAGAAGACCAATCAGCATTATTGGAAATTCTGCCTAATCACCTTTAGCCCCATCAAATTCCATGAGACCCACTACAAAAACTACTGCTCAATAAAAGAGTAATGAAAATAACATGAATACAGTATCATCCACTTACTCGGCTGTTTCCTCATTTGCCAAGTGAGTGATCAACGGGAAGAGCGCAATGATTGAAGGTGACAGTGAAACGAATGAAGTCGTATAATATGATTGAAGAAGTCCCAAGAGTGTTTTCAAACCGACTGAACGCTACAATTCGAAACAATCACAATTTCACCGAAAAATAGGTAATTCATGACAATTTCAATACGATACATGAATAATAATCAATGAAAGTGGATCCGATTCGTTAATTGAGGCGAATTATTCTCGATATCTGAATGGGGATTTCAGAATGGATGAATCTGATTGCTTGTGAGATCATTGCGATCAGCCAAATGTGTGGATAAGCAGAATGAGGAGTGCAAATAATACCTTTTGCTGCTTGAGTACATCGATTTTTGTAGTCATTGTCACTTTACGAGTCTTACCCTTCAGTTGCTCACCCTTCACGATCGGAGATGACACAGAACTTTCATTCAAGAACCCAGTCTGGAACCAATGGAAAAAATGAACATTCCTCTAATGTTTCAAGTGGATTTACTTATGAGTTTCTGACTTGCTTAAGTTAGCTAATCAATTACACTTTGTGAAATATTTCGTGGTATCACCTCTGCGCTGAACAACTGAAGCATTTCCTCCAATGTAGGAATGGTGAATCGACGTGGAAGCAGAGACTGATTACCAGCAGCAGCTGCAAAAACGGCTGGAAATGATAGTATCCTGAAAACAGTTGTGTTAGTCTGTAGTGCTCGAGTAGCTATGAGTCGATTTGATTTTAATCTCCATTATCAAGGTACATAGGTAATGGAGGGGATCGGGAACTCAGTATTTCGTGCACTCAGTATTGCTATGTTATGATAAAACGCTATCACGGTTCTTTTTAATTCGAGTATTTAAATGCGGTTAGCTGTTGACAACACTTCGTTCTCCTATTTTCTGAGCAACATTGGCTCGTCAGAGCCTAACAGGGTTTTCATTTGTTTTAACTTGATTTTCATTCTTTTCCTTGCTGTTCCAATCGCTCTCATAGCTTTTAT